GACCTTCTGTGAATTTCAAGTTGTTCATCTTACCTTCCTGATACTGAAATGTAGAATCCACAACGATGTAGAAATACTACGAGCCTTGACACCATCCAATGTAACTCTCAGCTTCTAGCCACATACAAATCTGCAAAAATTCTCAATTGCCACATATAAATCTTGAATTCATTAGAACCATTCTCGAGAGTCATCCACTCTTATCAAACCTCAATTAGACTGATCAAACGGGCTGAACGATCTATGCCCCATTAGTACTCCTACACCCAAGGAAGTAATCCCACATTAATGCAACCAGATAAATTTCTATTCCGCGCGCATTACATCCTTCACCAATAACAACTCAAATCATTCCATGATTCTCATGTACTCATAAATCCTGATACAACTCGTACCCAGAAATTCCTTTACTTAAGTCATCCTCGATCTCACCCTCCGCAGAACATAACTCATCCGCAAGTATACCTCAAACCGAAACCAATACAACACATAACCAAGCAATTAACTTATCAATAGCATACTGCCCCACTTAGCTCAAAGCCATAGATCAAAACACACATTAACTCACAATGCCCATACTCTATTACTGCCATAATACCATAGTGAGGTTCAACCAAATCCTTCATAAGCTCATGCAACACAAACCAACTAGTATTTCAAATCATCTTCAAATCTCGCATTCACCCTTGTAACAGTCAAGCCCACTCTCATAAGCGATCCAAACTCAAATTGCAACACATATATTTCATTGGTAAACGAGAACTCCCAACAACAACATAGGGATCACACAAACCTCAGGACACCCCGCAAGAGATAACCCACCTGCTTTGCCTCAAGCTGAGCTCTCTCTATACCCTTCCACAGTCATAAACATTACGCAATCACTTAATCTTCCTGAGTCTGAACTCATATCATGACATGAAATCTACTTCACTCCTCAACCAAACAACATGAAAATATCCCTCAACACACCCATAACTCGGGGTTATACATCAAATCAAGATGGAAATCAAGCACCAAATAGTTCTTTCTACACCTCAAGCAGACCCTTCTCGTCACATTCAAATCATATGAACACATCTCGCAGTCACATCATACTCATCACGTAGCCATCCAGCCACAAATTCCACTAATAGGGATACTACCGGATATATAAGTCCAAAAACATGTGCTCACACAATCAACACCTCTGTGCACAAGCTACAGTCAAAACTCGGCCTCAAGTCCTCTAGACTGGCCCATTATCAGCATACGGAAATCACATCTCGCACCTCTTCCAGGGAATCACAAACCGTCGATGCACAACTGAAATCAAGCGCTCATATGCGCATACGAATGCATGGAGGCAATTCAAATAGTTACGCTTCAAGCTGAATCAAATGACGATAAGAGAAAAAAGATGGGAAGTATATCCTAAATGTCCTGTAGCCTCTCGAAGATAGGATGGACGTCATCATACTGATCTGCAAGACTCTACTAGACACTTGCTCATAACTTGTAGAACCTATGAACCTAGGGCTCTGATACCAATCTGTCATGACCCAAAATCCACTAGTTGTGATGGCACCTAACCCAACCCACTAGGTAAGCCAACTAATAGCTATCCAATTTTAATAATGTTAACAGGTCAATTAAACAGAATAAATTATCTGGATCTAATACATTTCCCAAGGACTGATAGTACAAATCATGAACTTCTAAGAGTAGAATTTACAAAAGTTGATATAAAGTAAATACATCTTCTATTTGAAAAGTACATAAACAAATTTTTATAATCTAAGGCTACCATGATCAAAAGGCAGCAACAACAGGAATGCAGGTACACCTTTAATGCTAACTCCCGCCATGCACAACAACATCGGCAATCGAAATCTGCACGCAATGTGCAGGAAGTATAGTATGATTACAACCGACCCCATGTACTCAAAAAGTAACAAATCTAACCTTAGATTGAAAGTAGTGACGAGCTTGAACCAAGGTCGGGTCCAACATCAATAGTCAACATCAATTCATAACAACATAAAAAAATTAGATAAAGAAGTAACTCAGAGATAAAATGTTCAGCTTTTTCATAGTTTTTCCAAAAATAGTTCCGCTTTTCAAGAATATCAGTGAAAACCCAAATCATTTATCGAAATCTTTGAAAAAATTTGAGACAATTTGAAAATTGTAATTTTCCTGGAAAATCCTTTCCATAATAAATAAAAAATTTCATTTCCTTTCCAAATAACAAGTGTGAAATACCACTCTATGCCCCTATGTCAATGTGTGCCAAAAGTCATGAATGATGTGATACCGTACATCATGAGAAAAAATGCATCTCTATGCATATATGCCATGTGCGCATGCTAATGCCATGTATCTCAGAGATGAATCATGTACTCACACTCTCATAGTACTCAATCCCACTGTCTCACACTTTCCACTCATTATACTCAACCACTCGATACTGTATATGGCCCATACGGTCCAGGAAAGATCCATCCCGAAATATATACATCACTAACCATCAGTCACTCAGTACCGAGGAAGGCCAATCCAGCCCTATGGAGAAGATCCATCTCCAGGAATATAAATGCTTCGGACAAGATCCATGTCTTGGGAAGATCCATCCCTCAATATAATCAACAGCGCTCACTTGGGGTGCGCAGACTCCGGAGGGGCTCCTTCAGCCCAAGCGCTATCATCTGCATGGACACGCACGTGCTGCACTGACAACTCACGTGCTATCATAAATCAAAATAATCGCTGCGGCGTGCAGCCCGATCCCGCAACTGTCATTTATAATCAGGCTCTCGGCCTCACTCATTCATCAATCTCTCCAGTCTCACCCACAGGCTCACAATATCATGAAAACTGACCCGAAATAATGGTATGGTGTATCAATAAGCAACAACTGAGACTGAGATATGATGTGAATGCATGAATGTGACTGAGTATGAAATATCAATAAAATCAATGAGATGACAGCAAGAAATGACCACTATGGGTCCCAACAATATCAGCACAAAGCCTAAACATGATAGCTAGCATGATGTACAGCTCATTTATTTTATCACATGGTGAAAACACATATATCAATAAAATAGGGCCACCGTTTAGTGCCCTGGACACAACGGAGTCACAATTCACAGGGTGTACGCCCACACGCCTGTCACCTAGCATGTGCGTCACCTCAACATCAATCATATAGCACGTAATTCGGGGTTTCATACCCTCAGCACTAAGTTTAGAAGAGTTACTTATCTTAAACAAGCCATTTCTGACGCCGGGCAAGCCAACGATGCTCCAGAAAGCCACCATGCGTGTAGCGACCTTCGAACGGCTCAAAACTAGCCAAAAGCAACTCAAATACATCAGATATCGCCCAAGGAAACAATTACAAATGATAAAGATCGAATTCTACATCAAATCCCAAATCCGACCAAAAATCACACCCGGGCCCACGCCTCGAAACTCGACAAAACTCACAAAATATGACAACCCATTCAATTATGAGTCCAACCATACTGGTTTCACTCAAATCCGACTCCAAATCGATGTTCAAAACTCAAAAATTCATACGATGACACTTTAGGCCAAAACCCCCAATTTCCTCTTTAAAATTCATCAATCAAAAACTAAAATTGAAGATAGATTCATGGAATATAACCAAAACCGAGTTGAGAACACTTACCCCAATCCTTGTGATGAAATTTGCTCCAAAATCGCTCCATTTATATAATCAAGAAAAATTCAATTTATTTTTTAAAAATTATCCTTATGTATGTATCTCTAAAAAGTCTTTTATTCTTCATATTAAATTATGCTACAATATTTAATTAAGGGTAGTTTAGTCACACTAACTATTTTTATCTTGAATTTAGTATTTTTTTTTTTTAAGGAAAAATTTCACATTAGAACAACTGGGCACCTTATTTTTCAATTTTATTGCCCATATTTCAATTTACAACCAACTATTCCAAAACTAATAGGCTAAGATTCAACATCCAACTCCAATAGGTTCTCCAAATTACTATTTAATTTTAAAAAAGATTCCTCAAACTTTTAAGTTAATTTTTGAATCAGTAAATGTGACTCAAATATTAGTTCAACAAACCAAATCCATTTGGGTGGTGAAAATTAGATTTTTAACAAGCTTAAATATGTGGGTTTATATTCCGAATTTGATTTTGTGAGAATTTTGGAGTGAGTGTTATTTAGACTTGTTAGAAATAGTATAAGGAGGTTGTATATAAAATTTGAAGTCATTTAATGGAGATTTTGACTAGTTTTGAGCAAGAATTGCAATTGAAAATTGTGGAAGAAGTTCGTCTACAGACGCTTGTATAAAGGTGTATAAAAGTGTATAATAGTGTATAAGATGTGTTTCTACACTCATATACACTGTTATACAAGATTATACATAATTATACAAAAAACTGACTTTGTCTTCTTCCTTGCGTCTTTTCTGAAATTTAACTCAAATCTACTCCAAATCACTTCAAATTTAAATTTTGAACTTCTTTTGATATTTTCAATCAATTGGAACAACACCCAATCCAAATAACTAACGAACTCAAAAAAACCCATTTTCGAAAGCAAAGCTTTGAATGGTCTTCAATGGTGGACTTCTACTTTTCAATTTTCTTACATTGCAACCACGTGACACAACAGGAGAAGCAGAAAATATACGGCCGCTTGAAGCATATGTAGAAGATGTGAGAAGAAGATAGAGTGAAGGTAATGGTTGTGAGAACACAGATTTAACTCCATAGCTTTTAGAAGCAATGTGTTAATTTGATGAATTCAGCTAACTTGCAATTCAGATCTTAGAAGAATAGAAATATGAAGACGAAAGGAGAAGAACTGGAAATGGAAAGCTCACTGTTGCATTGAGAAATTTACTGTACATCTACAACAACTAACCGACTAATATGTATTTATACTAACTAATCTCTAACTCAATTATAGTTACTAGTATGTACTCTAGTTAGCTAACTATGGTTTACAAAAAACAACTAACTAACACTAAGTACTTGTCCCGTATCAATACATTCCTCAACACCCCCCATCAAGCTAGGTCTAAGGAAAATGTTCGTTAGGCCTAGCTTGGATAACAAATGGTCATGCTGAATGCAGCTTAACCCCTTTGTCAATAGATCTGCTGGTTGCTCAGCAGAAGGCAGATACACAGTTTCAACCAATCCCTGTTGTACCTTCTCACAAATGAAATGGCAATCAATATCAATGTGTTTAGTCCTTTCGTGAAAAACTGGATTCGCAGCAATTTGCATGGCAGATTTACTGTCACAATAGAGTGGATTGAACAGACCAATTAACCACACTATCTCTGCCACAATTGATGCCAAACTCATGTACTCTGCTTCAGCTGAACTACGAGAGATAGTATTTTGCTTCTTGGATTTCCAAGAGATGAGAGAATCACCAAGTGTAACCATATAACCAGTCACTGACTTCCTTGTATTTGGGCAAGAGGCCCAATCAGCATCACAATAAGCTTGCAACTTGGTAGAACCAGTAGATGACATAAGGATTCCTAGACCAGGATTCTTCTTCAAATATCTGATCACTCTTAAGGCAGCTTCGAGGTGTGATATCTTAGGAGCATGCATGAATTGGCTCAAACATTGCACATCAAAGGAGATATCTGGCCTAGTAATAGTGAGGTAAAGTAGCCTACCAATCAATCTCTGATAGGCTCCAGGATCAGCAAGCAAAGTATCATTGGTAAGTCCAAATTGATGATCAAATTCAGTTGTAGTTAACTTCTGATTCACCTCAACAGGAGCCCCTACAGGTTTTGCCCCTGCCAAACCAACATCAGAAATAAGTTCGAGGGAATACTTCCTTTGATGTAACAAAATCCCTTCCTTACTTCTTGCAAACTCAATGCCCAAAAAATACTTGAGCTCCCCCAAATCTTTGATTTGAAATTTTGATGAAGTGTAGCTTTGGTGTCTGATATAAGAACAGCATCATCTCCAGTGATGAGCAAGTCATCCATATACACTAGGATGATGACTATTCTCCCATTGATATGTTTGGTGAACAAGGAATAATCAAGATGACTTTGTTTGAATCTTGACTGAAGAAGAGCAGTGGTTAACTTGATGTTCCATTGGCACTAAGCCCGTTTAAGCCCATAAAGAGACTTGTGTAGTCGACAAACTTGTGTCTTTCCTGCTGAATGTGAGAAACCCTGAGGTAGATCCATATATACTTCCTCTTCCAAATTTCCTTGCAAGAAAGCATTATATACATCCATTTGATGCAAAACCCAACCTTTTGCAGCTGCAATAGCAATCACAGACCTAACTGTGACCATTTTTACTACAGGTGAAAAGGTCTCTTGATAATCCAAGCCTTCCTTTTGACTATACCCTTTTGCCACCAAGCGAGCCTTGAACCTTTCTATATCTCCAGAAGATGTATATTTGATTTTATAGACCCATTTACAACCAATTGTCTTCTTGCCATGAGGTAGAGTTACTACTTCCCATGTGTGATTGTCTTCTAGAGCTTGAATCTCTGCTTTCATAGCTTCAATCTATCTCACATCTTTAGGCTTGCTTACATATAAGATACGCGGGTTCAGTTTCTGAAGAAACCTTAGCAACATAGGCTTGATATTTGGCTGAAAGGCCATCATAGTGCATAACATCACTGATTGGATATAGGCAATGATTTGCAGAACTTGACCCTCTTTGAGGTCTAATGTAGTCTTTGAGCCAAATGGTCTAGTAGTCCTACCAGACTTTCTCTGATCACAAACAAAGGATGACTCACTTTGTCCCACATCAGATGCCACAAATGCCTCATTTTCAATAGTTGGTGCCTGTATCTCTGAAACAGAAATGGTACCATCTTCTACATTGCTGGGAATAGAGGATGATGTGCCATGCATCTCATGTGCAGGAACATCAGCTGTTGTGTCAATATGAGCAGTCCCAAACGACTCATCACCCCTGCTATCAACAGGTGACAGCAGACAATCATTGTTGACTATAAAAAGGTGATTGAGAGAATACTCTGAAATCTTCAGTATTATGTTGGAAAGGATACAAATCTTCATGGAAAGCTAAATCCCTGCTCACAAATATAGACCTTTGCTCAATGTTATATAGCTTGTAGCCCTTCTGTGTAGGGGCATAGCCCAGAAATACAGACCTTATTGCACGAGGACCAAATTTGTCTCCCTTCACTAAATTAGTAGCAAAGCATAAACATCCTACAACCCTCATATGAGATATAGAAGCTTGTCTGCCAAACAACATTTCAAATGGTGATCTTTTGTTCAGAACAGTAGAGGGTATCCTGTTGATGATACACTGCTGCCTCCACACATTCCCCCCAAAATCGAATAGGCAAGTGACCTTGAAACCTTATAGCCCTTGCTGTCTCTAGGATACCATGTTAATTTGATGAATTCATCTAACTTGCAATTTAGATCTTAGAAGAATAGAAATATGAAGACGACAGGAGAAGAACTGGAAATGGAAAGCTCACTGTTGCATTGAGAAATTTACTGTACATCTACAACAACTAACCGACTAACATGTATTTATACTAACTAATCTCTAACTCAACTATAGTTACTAGTATGTACTCTAGTTAGCTAACTATGGTTTATAAATAACAACTAACTAACACTAAGTACTTGTCCCGTATCAATACATTCCTCAACACAATGGTTGTAAGAACAAAGATATTGAATTTGCTAGTGCTTTCAAAATATGTACAATATGGGCTAGGTCAGGTAAAACTTAAAAACATGGGTCATTTTTTATTATGGTGTGAAGTCATGTGTATTTTCTTGTAATTTTTTTTTTTTAATGGGTATGCCCAAGTCAAATTGATCACTATTGTGGACCGTGGGAGTATTTTTTTTAAAGGGTATGACAAAGTCAAAAAAGTCAGTTGACGGGTGTTGAATGGTTTATGATTGTTTGTGAGGATTTAGGAATTAGCTACGGCGCCGCGGGGGATCTGCGGTTTTTCTCGAGAATTTATTTGCCTATTAAACCTAGTTTTACCAATAAACCATTTTATAATATCATCTTTCAAAAAAAAAAAAAAAAAAAAAAAAAACTTCCGAATAATTACTTTCCATGTATTAAGAATTAATGATGTCCCCTTCAGAATAGCAATTTTATGGGATGTCTCCGAAGGGGCCCTTCAAAATGGGCAAAGTGCACAAATAGTAGATTTTGGGATCACCATTTAAGCCATAATCGTACTAATGTATAAAAGTTTATAAGTTTAGCCACTTTAGAATTAATTTAGACATATGCGACTAAGTAGTAATTAAAAACTTGTTCTGAAATTTGACAGCAATTCCGACATTTTTATTTGAAGTTTGGTTTGCAAAGGCCATTTTTTTGATATTTTTCCGTGAAGTTTGGCTTGCCAAGGTCAAACTTGCAACAATTTGTTCTGAACTTCATGCACTTATATAAAAATAGCACAGTCTAGCTAGTTTTCGGACTGGTCATTCAAAAATAACCAGCGCTTACCAAGTCAATGAAAAATAGCCACTATTTTGCTGCAACAGAGACGGTCCAGCATAATATACTGGAGTTCGGTGCACTTGTGTATGAACTTCCAGCATATTATGCTGGAACCCCAACACACGAAAAGTTCCAGCATAATATACTGGAGATTCGAGCACTTGTGTATGAACTTCCAGCATATTATACTGGACCGGTATACTTTGCTGGAACTCCAGTATATTCTGCTAGAGTTCTAGTGTACTTATGCTGGAACTCCATCATATTATACTGGAGTTCCAGCATACTTATCCTGGAACTCCGGTATAATATGCTAGAGTTCAAGTATACTTATGCTGGAACTCCAGCATAATATACTGGTGTATTTTCCGGGTTTGGAACAGTGTTTTCGCTCAGATTTATCTTTACATGAAAAGTGGCTAAATTTCGATTACTTTTGAAACAGGACTATTTTTGAACGACCACTTGTAAATCTGGCTATTTTTGAATTTCTCCCTGCACTTATGTATAAACTTTCGACATTTTTGTCAGAACTTCAGGAATAGGTGAAGTTCAAGTTATTAAATTTATGCTTAGAAATAATAACTCGTTCTTCGAATTTCAATAATCCAATGCACGATTCAACTCCCAAATTTACTCCAAATATTAAAATATAACTTCTAGTATTATAAAGAGCAAACATCAATCAATTTATCAAAATAATAACAAATGAAAGAAACCCATTTTATTATTCTCAAGCTTTCTTAAAGCCTTCAATGGTGACTAATTACTCCATTAGGTCTTGTATATAAGAGCTCTTGGAAGAAAAAAATAAGCTTTTCCAATAACACTCACAAGACCCACTTAATTTAAATTCATCTTTCACATTTGAAATTCAAGACCCACTTCTTCAAGTTTAAAACAATGGTGATTTTAATGTTGAAAATCCTTAACTGGCTCTCAAGACCAACTTCTTCAAGTTTAAAACAATTGTGATTTTAATGCTGAAAATCCTGAATTGGCTACAAATGCAATTTTTTTAAAAAGATGACTACGCCTTAAATGATGCATACAAATAGGCTGCCTAGCGAAAATTAGGTAAAATACACAAATATCCCTCAAATCGGATAGTATCAAATTTTTATTCCGCCTGTCCCATGGGTAAAACTTCAAATTTAATAGAAAAATTGGCACCTTATAACAACACATAACAAAAATTAGCAATTTTTTATCCTTATATTAGGTTTGGCAAAGATAGCCCCAAACAATTGGCATTATATAGCCGAATCTTAAAAAAAACTACTCTCTTTTATATTTTCTCTCAAAAAAGCTACACGCTTATTTTGGCTTCCCTTCCCCTTTCTCTCCTTGTATTTCTTCTTCTATCTCTTCTCTGTTGCTCTTATAGTTTAGATAAAATTCTTGCAAATTATGCAAAAAAAATCAGTGGGATGAAAAGGTAAGGTTGATCTCACATTAGAGAAAATCAGAAGCAAAAACTAAGAGAGAAAAAATATATTTCAACTTTTTTTTTCTTCTCTCTTCATTTTTCTTGGTTGGATTGAATGAGTGGGTGTGATTGAAATTGGTTGAAAATACTTAACGAGGCTATATATAAAATTTGAGCAAGATTAGCAAAACTAAGAGAGAAAAAATATATTTCAACTTTGTTTTCTTCTCTCTTCCTTTTTTTGGTTGAATTGAATGAGTGGGTGTGATTGAAATTGGTTGAAAATACCTAAACGAGGCTATATACAAAATTTGAGCAAGATTAGAAGTGATTTAGACTGGTTTCAGGTAAACAATCAGACCTAAAAATCCAACTACAACATGTGTATATCACTTTGTATATCGTGTACATCAGTGTATATCACACACAAGTTTTTAAGGACGTCTGTGTATATCACTTTGTATATTGTGTATACAACACAATTTATTTATGGACGCCCGTGTATATCACATTGTATATCGTATATATTACACAAATTTCCATGGATATACAGAGATATACATAATATACATGAGATATCACTGATGTACATATAGATATACACGGGTTACAATAGGGGATACACATGTGGAGTCGTCTTGAACTTGAGTTTTCAATCTATAATGTGTTATATAAAGAAGGAAAATAAAATTTTAATAATTCTTTTTTATATACACATTATTATTATGTTATACATTGTGATATTCAAATAATATAATTATTAATTATTGATCATAAAAGGAAAATAAATTTTTGATATAACATGTTTACGCAAGTTCTAAAATATAAAAATAATAAATATAATTGTGAGAGTAAATAATATTTTGGTATACAAAAAAAATTAATTTTTGATATACACAAAGAAGAAAAATAAATTTATGATATCTATTTTGGTATACACATGTCCGATGTGCTATACACTGTGATATGCAAATAATATAATATTTGTATTGTGATATACATTGATATAAAGGCAGCAATAACTATATATATAATTTTATATTATTGATATACAAAGAATAATATTATTTATATCCAAAGAATGAAAATAAAATTTTAATATACATGTTGATATAGACAAAGAAGAAGAAAAAAAGTTGTGATATACATATTATTATTGTGATACACATTTATTGGCTATTTGATGCCAAAATCTGTAACTAGGGCTATTTTCTGCCAATTATATGAGTATGTTGTTATAACATGTCAAAACCCCCTACTATGGGGCAAGTAGAGGTCAAAAATTAAAGATAATCCAAAAAGTGTCATATTTTTGCAATTTTTGGTGAAACGTCATAATAGTAATTGGGCCTTTAATAAACGGGCCGGGCTAAAAAAATTCAATGGGTCGCAAATAAAGGTCTTATGGTTGAATATTTTCATTACAGATTCTTTTTGTTTCTTTTAATAAAATTGAAAAGGAAAATATCAAAGCTCAATATTTATTAAATAATAATTTCCGTCAGTTAATCTTTCAATAACTCTCAAAAGCCAAATTAGAAATTTTGAAATGAATGGAATGATATAAATACACCAATGATGATATGCACAAAGCAATCAAAATTGTTGGACACAAAAAGAAATATGAATAACTATCTAAACCCAAAAAAGAAAAAGAAAAAGGTTATAATATTTCACTAAGCAATTATCTCATCCATATGACATTCCCTGAGTTTAATCTTTGCATTGTTTGTGCCACTTTTGTGTGTCACATCACAACATTCGCATCTATCCATCTGAAAATAAAAAATAATAAAAAGCACAAAATCAGTTTTTATTTTTTATTTTTAATGTCATAGCTTTACAACATCTAATTGCTTAGATGGTCAGCACCCCTTACCTACAATTTCAGGATCGTGGCAATTAGATTATATACCATGAGTGTCATTTAAGTGGTTATAGCAGGTTATTATATAAATTTCTTGAAATTATCTTATTAGGTATTTTTGTGCATCAACTTAACCTGATATTCAAATTAAATAGATGAAAAAGAACTTACGTCTATTTGCTTTCTTCTTGAAGAGTAAACTTCAATCTTAGAGATATCATCTGCAGAATGGCCACCACTGTAAGAACAAGCTGGCAATCCCCGAGGCAATGACCGCGAAAATGTAGTAAGAATTTCATTTTTCGTCGATTTCTCTGCAGATTCTAGGAAAAAAACATGAGGAGCTTGACATGAATCATTTGTAGGCAACCTTGTATTTAACAAGTAATATGGAGGGTCTTTAGGTGTAACTCCCCATGGTTGAAATGTTTCAATAGGGATTTGTAAATGGCTCCTAGGCAAAATGTTCTCATAAATATGTATTGAGTAACCCCATGATATAGAAAATGACCAATTATTTTGCCTGTTGTAGCAGATAACTTGTTGTAACATACGAGATTGATCGAATTTTGCCGCATTCATAAGGTGGTGTACAGATTGAAGTCTTTCCATTGAAGGGAAGATGGGGTTTGCAGCATCTAGATGGTGAAGAGACATCAATGGAGCTTTTGGATGAGACGACAACAAACCCGATATATCACCGCGCAAATCTATCTACAAGTAGAGATAAAAATACGAGTTTAGAGTCGGTAAATTCAGAACCAATATAATCTATATCGGCTAAGACTAGAAAATATCCAACTATTTGGCCATAAATAATATTATTGTGTTTGCAGATACTAGCTTAAAAAAAAGGGCAGCCTGGTGCACTAAGCTCCCGTTATGCGTGGGGTCCGGGGAAGGACCGGACCACAATGGTCTATTATATGCGTGGGTCCGCTATAGACTACAAGAGTGTAGTCCATAACGGCTAAGACTAGATTATATCACAACCATTTGGCCATAAATAATATTTTAGTGTTTGCAAATACTAGCTTAAAAAAAGGGCAGCCACGTGCTCTAAGCTCCCACTATGCTCGGGGTCCAGGGAAGGGCCAGATCACAAGGGTCTATTATACGCAGCCTTACCCTGCATTTCTGCAAGAAGCTGTTTCCACGGCTCGAACAAGTGACCTCCTGGTCATATGGAGCAACTTTACCAGTTACGCCAAGATTCACTTTCATTTGCGGAGACTAGTTTGGCTATCAATATTTTTGTGATACTAATAACTTTACTACTTGAGAAAGAAAATTTACCTGGTGGCTACCTTTAAGAGGAGTAAGATTGACACCAACATCAGATATGCAAACCATGGTTATTTGATCAGCAGATCTCAAGAATGGATATCTCCTCAAACAACTTTCAATATACTTAGACATTGCTTTTGCCAATGGATAACTCAAAATAAATCCAGCTCCACCAAAAGCTTGATTAAATGAGTACCAATAATTCGATAAAAGATACTCTGATTGACCCCCCAAATAGTAATATTTCGTGTGATCATATTGCCCGAGAACATCAACCATATTATCCACAAAAAATACTGAATCGTCGTCCCCCATTACCACCCATCTCACCCCTTCATGTTCCTCTCTAAACACCTCCATTATTCCATGTACCATTCGTGCCATAGTTGGCGCGACATGGTTAGTTTCTTCGATTAATTTAGTTATGTTATCGGATACTCTATAAGGCGGGGAAGACGTGGACCATGGCAAAAGATCATCGCCCGTTGGAGCTACATCAAGAAAGAGATAACCGCGCGTTTTATTTGGTCTCCACCATGATTCAATATATTCTTTTCTATAATGCCATGCTTCTTCAGAACCAAGAAGTCCAAATAGTAGATGGCTAAGGTTTGTAGGGTTAGAATCATGACCAAATTTTGAGGTTTTGGATCTTGAGGAATATAAGAGATCAGAAGATGAACAATTGGAATCATTGAAAAGGAAAATTGAAGCAAAGTAAAGAACAACACCTGAAATCAGCACCACTCTGCAAAGAATAGCAACAAATAACTTGTCAAATGAAACTCTAAGTTTTTCTTTGATTGTATTTAAGATATTGGAAGCAAATGCAGATGACATTGTTTGGTTTGTTTGAGCAAAAGCAAGAGGGAACTTTTATATCTGTAGCTTAGTCCAAAATGCAAAGTAATCGTCCACCTAATCTCTTAGATTAAAAATAATCGCTGGATGTATAATATTTGTATAATATGTGTGTAACTACAAATAATTAATATATAATTTGTGCGCCATACTGGCTAAAAAAAATAAACAGATTTGGCCGGCTATTTGTGTAACAATAAGTGTCTTCTGTATTCAAAGTATTATTGACTGGCAGGTATGTTTGTCATGTTGCAAAAAAACAATCAGTTTCTTTACTGTGATCGAAGTATTTTATTGACTAATCATGTGACAATTAAGATTAAATAATTAATTAAGTTTTTTGTTAGTTTAAGTCCTTCAAGAGCACACCTATGGAATAGGCTATTAACTGTGGCTGCTAAACTCATCCTGATTTACTATTTATTTATAATGGTGGTATACGGGCTGTTTGTGCATACATTTATATTTCATCGGGTACTTACTATCTCTAATCTAGACAAATTAAAGCTTAGGCAAATGGGAAGAAATCAAGTACGGGGTGTCTGGGTGGCCCTAATTTACTCCTAAAAAGAAATATTTCATTTGTTCCATTTTGTATAATACTCCTCTAGTTCGTCTCTATAAAGAATGACACTTTTATATATTTAGAAACTCTTTAAATTTAAACTTCTATTTTACCCTTAATGACATGCTTTACATTCATAAAAACGGCATTGCATGCAGTGGCGGACCCATGATTTTGTGCAAGCGGGTTCAGTCGGAGAAGTCCATAACTAACATAAGCGGTATAAGCTGTATAAGCTGGTTCACAAATAATTTCTATACAAAATTTACCTTGCTTTAGCCATAATTTATACATATACACAGTATTATTTTTTGACGAAGCGGGTTCAGTTGAACCCACTTCTCACCACTTGGGTCCGCCCCTGATTGCATGTCGAAAAACCACAAGGGTACGTGCAAAAATTTTAATCTTTTTTCTTAAACTTCCTATTCAGTCAAACACCGAATGTATCTTAAATCGAGATTTTTTGGCTCAAGTTTGTCCCAGTTTGTCGAGGGAGCAACCCCATTTTTCACCTTGAATTGGTCAAAATACGCGGTTCTATAAAATTAAAAGGAGGAACTACATAACAATATAAGAGTAATCATTTTCATACATATTCAATATTCATCAAGTTGAGGCTAAATTCTAATTCTAGTTTTTGTTAGTGCACTAAGCTCCTGTCATGTGCGGGGTCCGGAGAAGGGCCGGACCGCAAGGGTCTATTGTACGCACCCTTACCCTAATAAAAAGAGAAGAAAATCATAAAGCTTTAAAAAGAGAGGGAGTAACCGGACAGGGGAAGAAGCGATATAATGGAGCCAACGATCTTCAGAACAGATGATTTCAATGCATTGTTCGAAGCCATGATATTAATCCATCATTTTCTTCAACTTTTCAGAGGATTTTCTGAACTTTAGAGCAAGAAAAGATAAATTAAAGAAAGAGAAGAAAGAAAAAAAAAGATTAAATTTTGCACATAATGAAGAAGAATATGACACAAATGATTAACTCAGTCAAGAATTTGTTATGGAAATCCAAGGATGTACCTTAGCTATCGTGTGGTTAGCACTAGAGTCGGATCTAATAATAGGCAAATTTAGTCCCTTAATTATTGTTACATTCTCTTTGTTCTTGTAATATATCATATACTTAACCTTCAATTACTAAAATGTAATTTTTTTTCGGTTATCTTATAAAGGAATATGTCATAGTTGGACTATTTTAATTAGAACTTTTATCATCCTCAAATATAGAGTAACAATACAAAATTTAATATTTCAAATATAGCTTACGTTTACCGAGCCTAATCTACTAAAATAGGGTTAGAAATAATGGCATAGTTAAGAATTCCGTCAAGGGTGTTCAAACTTTAAACAAGTTAATAATTTATTTTTTTATCGATGAATGATGTACCAAAATTTTTAGATCAAACTACGCAACATTTAGCTAAACAATAATAAAAAAAATTAATCATATATGGTGGTCTCCGTTTAGTTTTGGCAAATAAAATGGTCAGAACTTTGAACCCGTGAACAACACTTTGAACACCCTGAGGCCTGAACCGTGGGTCTACCTCACTCAAGAGTGTTAAGGGTATTCGAAATATAATATATAATCATATAAAGTAGTATTTAACTTATATACGCATATAATTTTTCGGCGAAGGGTGTGTACTTGACTACCCTTGGTATAGTGTGGCTACGTCACTAGTTATGAACAAGCAAAGCAAGCTTTCCTTCTTCGTTTGTTGTGGATCGCGCTGTGGAGCATTCTGAGTATTTGTTTTAGGGATCATTTTTGCTTATCTCCTTATTATATAGTACTAGGCTAGTACTACTAGTAGTTATTGCTCCGATTCCAAAAGGTATAAGTTATAACTCTATTGTAAGGAACAATATTTTATATATTGCAACAAAAATGATTGTACATTATCAATGCACATAAGTTAAAATGTAGGCTTGACCCTAGTGGCATATTCTTTGGTTGTTCAAAACCTCAAGTTGATGAAATTTTTTCAAGTTAGGGTCTCCTTATATAGTTTAGAGCCCGTTTGGCTTAGCTGATTTAGAGTAGCTGATAAGCATAGGTGCTGAAAAGCACTTTTCGTGTTTGGATAAAAGTGCTGAAATTAATAAAAAACAGCTAAAAAATTGGGTATACAAAGAGTTTTGTTTTAAAAAGAAGTACTTTAGGGATAGAATAGTAAATATTTTGGTCAAACCTAAAGTGCTTATAAGCTGAAATTTGATAAGTTGGGGGAGACCAACTTACGGCTTTTGGCTTATTTTTGGCTTATAAGCACTTAACTTATAAGCACTTTTAATTTTACCAAACGCGTAGATAAGTCAAAAAGTGCTTATAAACCAGTTTGACCAGCTTATAAGCTTAGCCAAACACCCTCTTAGTTAAGTCGAAGTTTGGTGTATTTATGAGGAAAATTAATTATATAAACCATCTTCTAGCGGAATATTGCAAGTTGCAAAAAAAATGATTTTGGATAGATAAAAAATGCAGAATCGTGTACAAATTAGTTAATTTAATTAATGTGAGAGCCAGTAAAATAATGTAGGTTGTATATTTAAGTTGGTGTTTTTAAGGCACCTCTTTCCTAACCACAGCGCAATATAAGGATCTGAGAATCCCTTCCCAAATCCAATTTTAATTAATTTAATACATGATTAACCGAAATTAATTAGGTTTGTACCCTTATGATGAACCTATTATCTAGCTGTAGTGTTTCAAACTGATTGTTAGCTCTCTCCTACTTTCATTTCCCTCACCATTCACGAACCGAGGCATAAGCGAATCCAGAATGTAAACTGGCTTGAATACCACTATGAAACAAAAATTTGAGCAAATACTGAAGCAAAAATCAAATCCAGACAGCATACTAAAACATAAGTTTTAGGATGCCAATCAATATATATATACTTATATATACTATATTAAAAGCACGAAGGCCATTAGCGAATTATCGTTCGTCTTTTTTACTATTCTAAAATAAAGTTCACACTAGACAAAATAGTCATTTGATTATTTTTCCAATATTTAGACATATCATTTAATTATTTTTCTAATATTAAGGGATAGTTATTTAATTATTATCCTAATATGTAGGATTAACATTAATAATTTTACCTTTTTTGAAAGAAAGAAAACAAAAACTACTGTATCAAGAGATAACGAAGACAGAATATTATTGGCTTCTTTTAATTTTATAGAAGTTTCACTTCTCCTTATCCCGAAACAATAATTTTGGTAAAAAGAATCCTAAAACTAAGGTGACATTAATTGTTGGGTCTTCTTTTTCCGTTGTCTCCTAGGCAATTTCTTAAGCGAAAAAATTAGTTTAAGACTTATGAGTAATATTTTAGAATTTGAGATCAACTAAAACTTCTTTAGTCATTCTTTAATGGTTACACAATTGGATTCCGTCTCAAAGAGCCAAACTTCATATAATTTCATGTGGGGAAAAATATAGCTCTTATATTTTCTTAATTACCAACAGCAAATTGCTCTTCTCAATCTATTTCTGGCGAGATCCGTATCAATTGAGTTTATCTATTATGACAGTAGTTTTGCATTTTGCCATTGGAGCCTTCTAACTTACATTGTGCATCTATTTTTGTGAATATGATGAATACAAGTCTGGGCTTCCAAAGCAAATATGGAGAATTTATATCAATGTTAAAGATTTTACAATGGTGCTCAAATGCAAGAAAGTTAATGTGGCAAATTTCAACGCCTTTTCCTGTGTTTGGATGAAATTTTATCGATGACTTAAGTTTAAATTTTGTCTATTAGTGCTTCATTTCAAATTCTGTTTGTTTGTAAAGTGATTTTATTTGAGATGGTTAATTTTTTCAACTATGCTCTGCATGGATAAGGAGGAAACTCTTCAATTAAATAAAAGAGAATATATTTAACCAAAATTTTATTGTTGGACTCTAATTTTATTATAGTAATTTATTCTTTTTTAATCTGACAGAAACAATTCATATTGTATTTTTTTATTGATTAATGACATAAAATAATTTGCAACAAAAAAGAAATTCTTCCATTGACTATGTGTGTGTCTTTTTGAATGAACTTGAAAAGTGTTTCCCTACAAAATTCTCAAACACCGTAACTAAGTCTAAATTGAATATAATAAATGACGATTGGGGACTTCTATGGTTGGAGCTTTTTTCTATTGAGTTAGTCATGTCACACCCCTTTTCTACCCCGAAAGATATAAAATGTTATGGATTTATGGGTTAAAGAATTTTTCCAATTAAAGTGACAAACTTGAGTAGGGATTATTTTATTGTTCAGAGTCGCCACTTGGAATTGATTTTTCGGTGTTCCAAATCTTCATTTATTTGAATCCCTAGTCAAAGGAAGGTCTGACTCTATTTTTATCGGTCCGCGAAAACAAAGTTCGGGTAAGGAATTCTATTGACCGGGGAGAAGGTGCAAGGCATTCCCCGAGTCCCGTGGTTCTAGCACGGTTGCTTTATTGACTTAAATTGGCTTTAATTAATTATGGACAAACTGTGATTTGTATGATTTTCATGTTTCACCTATCCGCTTTGATTTCTTGATTATTAGATCTATAAAAAAAATGATTTTTTTTGATAAATTATGTTGTCATAATCACACTACGCGAGCGAATGCGTGATCGAAACAAAATTTATTAATTTTATCATAACAGCTCCACGCAAGCGAATCCGCAATTATGACAAGGATTATTAGTATATTATTACTTTTGAAAAAAAAAATTACTACACTTAAAGAAATTAATTAAATATTAACTATCGCGCTACGCAAGCGAATCCGTTATTTTAGTGAAAGGAATAATTAAATTAGAAAAATAATTAAAGCTAGTAGAAATAGTATGAGATTATTGAATTAAAATATTAAGAGTTAATATCACGCTACGCAAGCAAGTCCGTGAAATAATAAAAAAAGAAAGTTAAAACGCACCTACTATGTGCCTAGCGTTTAAATTAATTAAAGGTACTTAAGTTATTGGATTATTGTTACACATCATGAAAATTAACTCATTCTTAATAAGTTTATTCAACTAATCAGTAAGTATTATTTTTGAAGATGGATCATATTATTTATTGAGAAAGTGGGTCAATTTGCTTATTTAGTTATGGCATTGGGCCAACATCTATAAAATAAATGGACAAAATATTTATAGACTTCTTAAAGGCATTGGGCCTGTTGGACAGAATCTGCCTTGGCCCGTTATTGGGCTCCGAAAATGGGCACAAGCTGAAAGCCCAATGGATTTCAACTGCTGATTTACTAAGACAGCCCACCTGGGCTAAATTGCGAGTCTGGCCTCTTTTGCTCTAAGCCATTAACCCTTATTTTTAGCTAGCAATTCCAAACACCTATTTAAGATCTAGCCACTTTCTACCAAAAATCTAAAGTCCTAGCAGAGATGGTCACATGTAAAATCTGAATTTTATCACAATAGATAAAGGTTTCAAGCATGGCTCTTTTGTTATTTTTCTTTAAAGAATAGCCTATCATAAACTGGCCAGAATTGCACAAGGTGCAAAAGAGTTTTTAAACACATTGCGACCTACTTGAAACATCTCATTTTATATGCATCAAAACTATAATAGATAGTAAAGACAAATAACACATGAATAAAGAGTGTTTGATCAGCCAAGGATTCATTTTTACATATGAACTACAACAAGATATATTTAAACAATAAAGAAATTTAGCTAAGCACTCATTTATTTAAATGGATATGCTCCCAGCAATCAAGATGAGTTCAAATCTTCTTGTTAATGTGAAAATATCTGCAACATAAGATTAAAGAGTTACCTGGGTCGCAGAATAACAAATACAACAATGAAGAATGGAAGCTCAGGAAAACAGCAGCGGAACAGCAGCAAAACAAACAACAAATTCGTGTTGGAACAACCCGAAAACTTAGAGAAGAAGCCCAGAACCAAACTTTTAGAAGACTTTA